GGAGCTGTTGCATTGTGGTAAACTGTGGTCAATGTCATGAGACAAAGTGTATGTGAACTGCTGTATGGAAAGTGAATCTGCTCTGTAAATCTTCACCCAAATCACAATTTAAAAAAAAAAAAAAAAAAAAGCACTTAAGGAAAACAGACAAAACCAAGAAAAATAGAGTGATAGAGAATTCAGGAAAACAATACAAGAGCAAAATGACAAAATAAATAGACAATGAGAAGCCATACAAAAACAGCAATTAGAAATCCAGAAGATTAACAATAAAATCTCAGAAATAGACAACTCCATAGAAGGACCACCCACCCACTGCCATCAAGTCAATTCCGACTTATAGTGACCTCATAGGGTATCCAAGACTGTAAATCTTTACAGAAGCAGAGTGCCTCATCTTTCTACCATGGAGGAGCTGGTGGGTTTGAACTGCTGACCTTCTGGTTAGCAGAAATGCCTTAGCCAAGGCACCACTGGATCTCCTTCCATAGAAAGACATAGGAGCAGAATTGAATCAATGAAGTCCAGTTCAGTGAATTAGAGGACAAATCTCTTGACACCAATTGGTTTGAGGGAAAATCAGAAGAAAAGAATGAAGAAAGCATAAGAATTATGTGGGATACCATTAAGGGGAAAATTTTACACATGATCAGAATTCTAGAACAGGAGGAAGCAAAAAACACCACAGAGAGAATTGTCAAAGATTTGCTAGCAGAAAACATCCCTAATAATAAAAAACGAGCAAGAATGGCAATCATAAAAGTAGAGAAGATATCCATCCAAGAAGCTCAATGAACCCTATACAGGATAGAACCCAAAAGGAAGTTACCAAAATCAAAACACCAAACCCACTGCCACAGAGTCAGTTCTGACTCATAGCAACCCTATGAGTAGAAATGCCCCAAAATTTTCCAAGGCTGTAAATCTTTATGGAAGCAGACTGCCTCATCTTTTTCCTGCAGAGCAGCTGGTAGATTTGAACCACTAACCTTTTGGTTAGCAGCTGAATGCCTTAGCCATTGCATTACCAGAACTCCTTTACAAAGGGAACCAAGAAGACTAAGCCCTGATACTCACCAGAAACCATGCAAACTAAAAAGAAATGGGATGACATATATAAAACCTTGAAAGAAAAACACTGCCAACCAAGATTTATATATTCAGCAAAACTGCCTCTCAAATATGATGGTGATATTAGGACATTTCCAGATAAACAGAAATTGAGAGAATTTATAAAACCTAGGCCAACCTTACAAGAAATATTAAAGGGAGTCCTTCAGATAGAAAATCAACAACATTATATGATAGAGATGATAGAGAACCATCAACCTGTGATTAGGACACAGGAGAGCATCAGGCAGATACCAACCCAGGTATGTGAATTCTCAAAAATAAAACAAAACTAAAAGACTGAAAATGGAACCAGAGATGTCAATCTGTAAATGACAACAATGTCAAAACAAAAAAAGGATAATGAATGGTGTAGTTATAGAACTTTTATATTGAGAGGAGGCCAACATGATATCAAGAAATAAAAGACTGCTTCAAACTTAGGAAGATAAAAGTAAATTTCAAGGTAACCACAAAGAAACTTACTCATCAAAATAAAAAAGAATAAACATACAAAAACTCAGTAAAAACAAAATCAACAAAGAAAACAAAAATAACAAAGACAAAAATAACTCAGGACAGAAAATTAAGTGGAACAAATAAACAATCAACACCACAAAAAACACAACGAAATGACAGCAGTAAGTTCATACCTGTAGATAATCTCACTGAATGTAAATGTCTTTAATGCAACAGTAAAGATAAAAGTGGCAGAATGAATAATAATAATAAAACAAGACCCATCAATGTGCTGTCTACAAGAGACACACCTTAGACACAAAGATATAAATTAAAACTCAAAGGATGAAAAAAATATATCAAGCAAACAATAATCAAATAAGAATAAGAATGGCAGTACTAATCTCTGATAAAATAGACTTTAAGGCAAAATCCGCCATAAAAAATAAAGTCGTCATATAATTTATTAAAGGGTCCATCCACCAAGAGGACATAAACCATAATAAATACATACACACCCAATGACAGGGCTCCAAAATACATGAAACAAACTCTTAATGGCACTGAAAAGAGAAATAGACAATTTGACAATTAGTAGGAGACCTCAACACATCACTTTTGTGAAGGACAGAACACCTAGAAAGAAATTCAACAAAGGTACAGAAGATCTAAATGCCATAGTTAACTGACTCCACTCATCTACATATACAGAAGACTCCACCCAACAGCAGCAAAGTATGTACTCTTTTCCAACACACATGAAAATTCTACAGAATAGACCACATTTTAGGCCACAAAGCATGCCTCAATAAAACCCTAAACATTGAAGTAATGTAATGCATTTTCTCTGATCACAATACTATAAAATTGGAATCAATAACAGGAAGTTCAAGGAAAAAAAAATCAAATACATGGAAAATGATTAACAAACCCTGCTTATAAACTACTGGGTAACACCAGAAGAAATCAAAGATGAAATAATTTTAAAAAATTCTTAAGGCTCAAATGAGAATGAAAATGCAATATACCAAAACCTTTAAACCAAACTCACTGCCGTCGAGTCGTATCCGACTCATAGTGACCCTTCCTTGGGTTTCCAAGGCCGTATCACTACAGAAGTAGCTTGCCCAGTCTTCCTTCCGAGGAGTGGCTGGTGGATTTGAACCGCTAGCCTTCTTTTAGCAGTCAAATGCCTTAGGCACCATGCCACCAGACCTTCCACTAAAACTTTTGGGACATAGCAAAAGCAGTGCTTAGAGATCAATTTTTAGCAATAAATGCACACATCAAAATAGAAGAAAGGGCCAAAATCAAAACATTAACTCTACAACTTGAACATCTAGAAAGAAAGCAACAAAAGAAACCCACAACCAAATCAAACTCACTGCTGTGGAGTCAGATCTGACTCTTAGCGACCCCTCCTTGGGTTTCTGAGGCAGTATCTCTATGGAAATAGATTGCCCAATCTTCCTTCTGAGGAGTGGCTGGCGGGTTTTAAGTGCCAGCCTTCTGGTTAGAAGTCAAATGCCTTAGGCACTATGCCACCAGAGCACCAGAGCAAAGGAAATTAGAGCAGAAATAAATGAAACAGAGAACAGAAAAACAATAAAAAGAATCAACAAGACCAGAAATTGATTCTTTGAAAGGATCAATAAAATCAACAAACCACTAGCCAAATTGACAAAAGAAAAACAGGAGAAGAAGAAACTAACCCAAATAACAAAGGAGATAAATGAGATTTCAACAGAACCAACTGAAATAAAAAGGATCATAACAGAATATTATGAAAATTTGTACTCCAGCAAATTTGAAAACCTAGAGGAAATGTACAAATTTCTAGAAACACCCTACCTACCTAAACTAAAAGAAACTGAAGTAGAAAAACTGAACAGATCCACAACAAAAGAAGAGATTTAAGAGGTAATTTTTAAAAACTCCCAACAAAAAAACATCTTCTGGCCCAGATAGCTTCATTGGAGAAATCTACCAATTATTCAGAGAAGAGCTCACACCAATACTACTCAATCAGAGCATATGAAAAGAAAAGAGTAGTTCCAAATTCATTCTATGAAGCCAGCGTAATCCTGATACCAAAGCCAGGCAAAGACATCACACACACACACACACACACACACACACAAAGAAAATTACAGACCAATATCTTTCACAAATATAAGGAACTTTGGTGGTGTAGTGGTTAGTGGTTCAAACCCACCAGCCACTCTGCAGAAGAAAGATTAGGTAGTCTGCTGCTATAAAGATTTACAGACTTAGAAACCCAATGGGGGTTGTATGAGTCAGAATAGACTCAATAACAATGAGTTTGATTTTTTTTTCTTTTAGTGTCTCTGATGAATATAGACACAAAAATTCTCAACAAAATTCTAGACAACACAATTCAATAGCATATCAAAAAAATAATACATCATGACTAAGTGGGACTCATACCAGGTTTGCAAGGATAATTAAACATTAGAAAATCA